TAGTCTTTTTCCTACTTGGTATATCATTCATAGAAATGAGATGAGTAAAATTCAAGTAGATAGGTGATGAGAGTTGTTCATCGTCATTCATTTTGAAGAAGAGCATCACAGAGAATTCTGGCGACCCCATTTAAGAACAAACCTGTCAGTCACTAGTTCTAAAGTTAGATCATATCAATATTTGCAAACCTTATCTCAGAACAATGGGTCCCATGCACATCCAATAAATAGATCTTTTGCGTACAGTCTTCATGTTTCTTGCCCAACTTCTGTTTGCTCTTAGAATCTTATAGTTAAAATGACCATCTTTATGGTGATATAATTGATACACCACGTATTTCTTCAATTTAAATTGAACAATTTAATTGTTTTAATATATTCACAGAGTTATGCAATAATCACATTGTGAAAGGAAAATAAACCACGGGGCCCCAAAATCATTAAACTAAAGGGAAAAGTCAAGCTGGGAAATTCTTAGGGTCAACCTGCCTCCCATTCGATTCGAATCATCCCTCTGCTCACTGAGATTAATTCATACCTTATTGCCTCTTTGGAAAGGCTAATCAGAAATTCAAAAGAATGCAACTGTTTGCCTTACCTACGTGTGACCCAGAAGGCTCTTCCCTGCTTGAGTTGTCTCACCTTTCTGGACATAACCAATACACATCTTACATATATTGATTGATGTCTCATGTCTCCCTATAATGTATAAAATCAAGCTGTGCCCCCACTACCTTGGGCACCTGTCATTAGTACCAGAGGTTGTGCCACAGGCTCATGTCCTTAACCTTGGAAAAAAAACTTTCTAAATTAACTGAGACTTGTCTCAGATATTCAGGGTTTATAAAATGAATCACTTATAAAGCATTTCCATCAGTCTTAAGAAACCCTGTGCCTATGAGCAGTCACTTGGATTTTGCCCATCTCCTCAGGCAAACAAGAGTCTACTTTCTATGTTTTTTAGATTTGCCTATTGTGGACATTTCACATAAATACATTCACATATAGGCAGTCTTTTGTGACTGGTTTAGTTCACTTACCAAAATGTATGCCGAGTATTGCTATGTTATAATGTCTGTGGGTACTTAACTTCTTTTCATGACCTAATAATATTCTATTGCATATAATACTATATTTTGTTTTTCCATGAATCAGTTAATGGGTATTTGTTTTTTCTAGTTTTTATCTCTTTGAATATTGCTGCTACGGGCATTCATACACTTTTTTGTGTAGACATATGTTTTCATTTGGGAGTGTATAATCCTATAAGTGGAATGGCTGGATTATATGGCAATTGCATGTTTTACCATTTGAGAAACTGCCAGACTGTTTCCCAAAGTGGCTGTAACATTAGGCTGTGTAGTAAGAAGAAAGAATCTCTTAGTGAATGAGTATTGAGAACAGCTGAAATATTTGAGGATGTAAAAAATAAATCTGAGGTAGCTCAGGGATATTCATTACTCTTTCAATTTTTCCCACTCTTCATACATGAGGGTCTCCAGTTTCTGCCTTGTGGATGCCGACTCACTCCCAAAGTTATTGAGAGGAAGGTACAGGCTGAGAACCACACTGGGAAGTTGGGTTACAGAAGGAGGGATTGGCTCAAGACTCAAGCTAGGAAAAACAAATCAAAATTAAAATGGGGAGCTATATAAGGAAAAATAAGAACTTCCTGTGGGAGGAACAAGAAATTGAGAAGGAATGCCTTGTCTTTATGCTGTGTGCCTATCTTTAGCTTTCTGGGCTCTTAAACTTCTGTCAACAACCCCTAATTGGAAGTGACTGGGACACTAATGTCTACTCCTTTTACTAGTTAACTGTTTTATTGGTTGTCGAAACTCCTCACATAAAGTAGAAGAACCTCAAGGAGGCAGATTTTTTTAATGCCTAGTTGAATCAATCCCATGAATCTCATACAATAGGACAAAGTATATTTTATTAATAAATGACCACTGTGAGTGAGTTCTAACCAAAACAGAGGGAAAATATAGGAAGGATCAAAATGCAAAGAAAATACATTTTGCATACGCATCTACAGTCTTAAAGAAAACACAGGAAGTTGTGTTGAGGTCTGTGTCTCTGTTTCAGGAAACTCATCCTCCTGCTGAGAGGAGCACATTGTAGTCTCCTCAGCCTCCATGGTGTTGATGGTGATAGTGAAATCAGTTCCAGATCCAGGGAGATGGAACCAGGCTGGGACCCCACGACCACAGTGGAAGCCCTTAACATCCTTATCGTGTCTTGTGAGATATTTATTTATTGCCCTTCACAAATTGAGTTTAAAATATTTGCATTTTATTTTCTATCTACTGTTCTGCTGTCAGGCAGTATTTTTTAAGATGGTGGGATAGGGAGCAATTAGTCCCTTCTGAACATCTGGTCAGTGGTTAGTCTGATGAGAGGAGATTTTGTTAAGGGAACATTAGTGCTTCAGTTGTCCTGATTTAACATGGATTCCCTTCCCTTGGAGAGTGAATACACGTTTTACTCTGGCCTTCACAACAGTGTAGAATCCAGAAGTGTTGGTATTAATGCCACTGTGTTGCTTTTTATGATTTTGTTTTTACACTTTGTTTTTTTGTTTTACTCATATTTTTAATATAGTTTATTTTATTTGTCTTAAATTTTCCTTTAAGGATAAACATGAGGAAAATTATATACGCATACTTTAATTTTATGAAGCCTACATGAATCTACAATTTTGTACTTCTAAAGTCAAGAAAAAATTGATCATTAATTTTCAACATATACTTAATTAGCATAACAGCAAAACTGCTCCTTTTATTGCCTTCACCCTGACTCTGCTTTATGTTTTTGCATAAGGAATGTTATCATTTTTATTTAGATTTTTTAGATTATAATTACATGGTATCATATTACATACCTTATATTTCAAGAATTATTCCTGTACAGTGACCTGCATTTATAAGTGAATTTTCAACTGATTTAGATTCTTGGTTTAATCATTTCTACCAATCAAGCAAGATTCCTTCCAGCAAGATTGTTTTGTTTTGTTTTGTTTCTTACATTTCTTGGTTTGTTTTAAAGCATAAAACTCAGGAAGTGCCTGACTAAAGAGATGCATATGGCAAGATGAGGGGGTAGGTTGAGACAGGGTGAGATGGTGCAAAGCTTCCATGTCCACTCCAGACAACCACCTGCCAGCACTTCAATGTGTTTACCAAACCCAGAAGTTTTACTAACAGGTTTTTATTTTTATTTTTTTATTTATTATTTTTATTTTTTATTTTTGAGATTGAGTCTCACTCTGTTGCCCAGGCTGGAGCATAGTGGCACCATCTCGGCTCACTGCAACCTTGACCTCCGGGGTTCAACGATTCCCCTGCCTCAGCCTCCTAAGCAGCTGGGACTACAGGCACCCACCATCAAGCCTGGCTAAGTTTTGTTTTTAGTAGAGACAGGATTTCACCGTGTTGGCCAGGCTGGTCTCAAACTTCTAGCCTCAAGTGATGCACCTGCCTCGGCCTCCCAAAGTGCTGGGATTACAGACGTGAGCCACTGTTCCCAGCCACCAACAGCCTTTTAAATTGCCAGGCACAGCTTCCTTTGCCTGAGCATGCTGCTTAAACTCTTGATGAATCAAAATAAATCTTTCAAGATTTTCTATTTTTTTTACATGTTCATGAACTTTTTATTGAGGTATATTTTCAAAATTGCACATTTCCTTCATATTTGATCATTTCCTTAGTTCACAAGCCTGGGCATAATCACTTTTTGTGGTTATGTAGCTATCACTACATTGTTCTCTAGGAACCGGGCTCACAAACTACATTGCTGAAGCAAGCTTGATTTTTATCTCTGAAAAAAAAAAAAAAAAAAAAAAAACTCCCTCAGATTTTGGATTTTTATTGGATCTTGATTTTTTAACACAGAAAAATCACCTGTGTGTTTGCTTCCAAATTTTGCCTAGATTTCTGAGTCTGTTTAATTTGCACTCATGAATATATAACAGAGGCATACGTATTTTAAATTATGTTTCTCTTTATCACCCCTGTTCTAATGACTAGTATACAGGGAAATATTTCATTATTGGGCTTGACTTTCAATTTTGTTTTTCTGTCTGTTTCACTCTTTCTTTTCTTTATTTAATCTCATATACCTCTACTTTGTGAACTGAGACTGTTCTTCCAAGTTTTATATTACTTATTTGCTCATTTGCAGGGCCAGTTCTGGTTGCTACGGTCCTGCCCCTTAGTTGCTTTTTTAAACAAGTACATTTAGAGTTTTATTTTCTCATAGATCAGCAGTGTTGATAGATCCATGCTTACCTTTTCACTTGTTATATCTGAGTGAAATGAGTATGAATGAGTATGTTCGTTCCATTTTCATCTGGGTCCTGATATTTTTTCTTCATTCTATTGATTATGTAAAATATTTTGTAGAAGGTTTCTTCGAAAATTGCAGTATATTTTATTTTGTTTTTTTTCTTTAATCTTTTAAAAATCAAGCAATTACATTTGTTTATTTCAATTAATAATACTCAGCCATGATAATCTGTTAATTACAATGTTTTGATCATGATGCAGTTTCATCTACGACTCTTTGTTGTTTATTTATTCAAAACTCAGTCATTCATTTGGTGATTAATGGTAATGTTCCATTACTGTGAATGTAAAGCTCCTGTGACTCTAACTCACAAAATGCAAGCTGGGGCAATAACTTATATATCATCTGAGGTTATCCACAATCACACATTCCTATCTCCCAATGTAGTTTCTTTCTTTTATACGTATGTATCAAATAACATTTTGCAATTTATTTCTTTAAAGCTACAAAAATGTATTAATGCAAACTGATTTATTAGTCTTTTCTTTCATGCTTAGTGTTTTGCATATTCTCTTTAAGAAATCTTTCCTACATGCATATTCATGACATATCTTTTTATACTATTTTCTAAAAGCTTTATTATTTTGCCTTTCACATTTCAATTTCTGACTAATTTAGAGTTGATATTTGTATCAATGTAGAAGTAAAAGGAAGAGGTTAAGATTCATTTTAATGTAATATGGATATACAATTGATCCAATATAATTCAGTTATTATTTTTTTTTTCTACTACATCACTGCTATGGCCTGAATGTCTGTGTCACCTCCAAAGTTCCTGTTAAAACTGAATCCCAAGGCAACAATATTAGAAAGTAGACCCTTTGGGAGGTGATTAGGTCATGAGGGCTCAGCACTCCTGAATGAGATTCATGCCTAGTAAGGTGGCTTTACACAGACTTGCCACTTTTGCCTTTCCGCCTCCAACATGTGACGACACAGCCACGAGGTGCAATCTTGGAAGCAGGAACAGTCCTCACCAGACACCAAGTTTGCCAGCGTCTTGACCTTGGAATTCACAGCCTTTATAACTGTGAAAAAATAAATTTATATTGTTTGTTAATTATCCAATCTAAAGGATTTTTTTGTACAAATGGTTTGAGACAATTGCTGTAGCACTTTTATTGTAAATTGAGTGATTATATATATGCAGATCTGGTTTCAGATTCTCTGACTCATTGCACAGGGTTAACTCTCTCAGCCTTCACCAATACTACACTGTTTTCATTCCTGTTACTTAACATAAGCTTTGATATTGGAAAGTGTTAATATTCCAATCTTGTTCTTATTGTGTAAGATCACCATTGTTGTTTTTTTTGCCTCTTTGAATGTCTATCTGCGTTAGAAACAGCTTCTAAATGACAACAAAATTCACAAGGATTTTGATTGTCAGAGTATTCAATTAATTTGGAGAGAGTTGTTATATTCACAATGTTAAGTTTTCTAATACAAGAACATGATAAAACCTTTCTCTTATTGAGTCTCCTTGATTCTCTGTCAGTAACCTTTTGTACATTTGCACATACTCATTATAACTCTTTATTTTACCATAATATCAAACAGTGACGAGTGGGAAAAACACTGCAAGAAATATAAACTTGACCCAGATTCTACTATCAATAGTTGACTTTCTACTTCCATATTCCTTCTCTAAGTTGGTATCCTAGGTACTATTAATGCACACAAAACGAACTACCCCCGAACTTAATAACGCATGAAAACTGCAATCATCTGCCTATCATCTCTATGGTTCTGGATTTTGCCTGGGCTCCCAAGGCTCCTGCCAGGCTTTCCTAAGGATACAGTCAGTGAGTGGTTAGGGTAGGCGTCACCTCAAAGGTGGATGACATTAGACATAAGGTTCTCAGCTGGGGTTGCCAATTCATGTGGATGCTTGGTTTACTTGAAACTTCCAGAGGAGGAGCAGGCAGAAGTTATGCAGCGTTGATGACCTCTTATAGACTCAGAAGACAAACAGCATTTCTTCTACACAGTCGCATGCCTACCAAAATTCAACAGAAGGAAGCATAAGGCAGTAGGTTCAATGGGAGGAGAGTCAAGATCACACTGTTAGAAAAAAATGTAGGATAGGAGATCTTGTCACAGCCATGTTGGAGAATGCAACAGGCATCAGTCCACCCTGTGACCAAAGCAATTCACATTCCTCCCACATGCTAAACACTCTAATTCTCACCTCAGCATGTCCAAGTATTATTCCATGATAGTGTTACTGCATCTTCAAAACGATATCCTAGGGGAGTGATATCAGCGAGATGACTGACTAGGAGACACCAGCCTTTGCCTGCCTACCCAAAAAAAATACAAACACAAAAACAAAGGCAAGACCAACAATTGTACAGCTATCCAAGAAGGCAAATAGCCCTTGGAGTGTTCAAGAGCCCAATTAAGAGTGTGCAGAAACACAATTAGAAAAAACGCCCAGAATAACCATACAGAAAGCGTTGCTGGAAGATGGCATGCCTGAGAGTCCTGAGACCTCTAAGATGAAAGAAGCAGGAGGCAATTGTTATCAGCCAGGAGGCAGGGCCACTGCAGTCCCCATGGTCTGCTCTGTAAAGGACCCTGCAGCCTTTGCAGCTGATGACCTAAGTAAACCCCCAGGCAGCCCCGACCCCTACAACATTCCCAGAGGAGGCCCATTAGGGTTCATTGTTGAGGATTATAGCAGCCTGCGCCACAGAGGACACTGCTGCTTTTGGCATTAAGGTAACCTGCAGCTATAATCACACCACCCCAGAGAGGACGATGCTGTGAAACCCTCCTCCCACACCCTCTCAAGAAGCATCCCCTGCTGTGCCGCCTAGGATGGGGCTTCAATGCCCTAAACCCAGGCTCCAGGGCCTCATCCAGTGCTGGCAACTCAGACACTGAGCCACCTCCATGTGGACCAGCCCAGGCCCAGGCCCAGGGTTGCTGTCACTCCAAATGCACTGTCACTCCAAGTGCACCAGCACTCCAGAGCCTGGTCCTGTGGCCGCTGTGGAAATTGCCTAAGACATAAAACAAATAGAAAATATCCAGCCACACAGTAGAGTGAAACACAGAGAAAAACCACACAGAAAGGATCACTGGGAGATGGTATACCTGAGAGTGCTGAGAAACAATGGCAAATACATCAAGAGTAATAAAAGACATTGGTCTGTAGGATCAAGAAAAAACACACACACACACACAGAAAAAATAATGAAACTTATTCAGGGTAAACGCCATGCGTTACCCTAAATAGTAGTGTAACCGTTCAGGATAAACTACAACTGTACATATTATAGTTAAAACGATGAATGAGACAAAGAGAAAAATCTCAATTGTATCAAGAAAAAACTGGCTCATTATACCAGAAACACAATAATGAAATAACTGGCTAACTGTTCAGAGACTGATAGAGGCTAGAAGACAGTGGGATTACATATTTAAATGCTAGGTGGGGGGTACTCAACAAATGGTTCAATAACCTGTTAAAACACGCTTCAAAAATAAAGGTAAAGTAAAAACATTTCTTTATTAGAAAATGAAGAGAAATGATTACTTGCAGAGATGTGCTCTATAAGACATTCAAGAGGAAATTCTTCAAAATCACAGGAAATCACAGCAGATAGTAGCTTGAATGCATAGGGAGAAAAGAATACTTCAAAAATAATAAAGAAACAAGAAAGAAGCAAGAAGCAGTCAAACAAAAGTGTTTACTTCAATTTATATGAGATTGTAGCACAGGGAAAACCAAATTATTATAATGAATATCTGAATACCAGTTACCTTGATTGGGATGGGGGAGCAATTGTTGCCTGGGAAGGTGCACAATGGGTGAGTCTGGAGAATTTGAAATATTCTAGAGATTCATCCAGATGGAGAACATACCTAAAACTTAGTTGCATATTTAACATTTCCATCCTTTGTGAGTGTTTTATATCAATTAAAAAATTTAAGAAGCCAATCCTTTACTCTTAATTCAATGTGAATAAAAAAATAAGAATCATCATATATTTACAGAATCTTAACCTTACTAAGGAGAAGTGAGAAATGCACCTGGGAAATTCTAAGAAACAAGAAATCTAAGAGAGAAGACAAAGGGAAAAGGGAATTTATCTTACTCATGCGGCATAGATTTTATCTCTATTGGTCTCTCTAAACAGAGACAATATTTAAGTCATTTTGCCCTCAAGAGAGGCTCCCACCATCCCCTTGGCTCTTTCCACCCCACTGCACCCACAGGGGATTTGCATATTATCCCCTGGGAGGACCTTCCCTTGTGAGTCTGAGATAAAAGCTCAGCTCTTACCTTGCCTTGACTGATCAGGACTCCTCAGGTCACCTTCTCACAATGAGGCTCCCTGCTCAGCTCCTGGGACTGCTGATGCTCTGGGTCCCTGGTAAGGACAGCAGGAAGATGAGGGAGGAGAATGGGGTGGGAGGGTGAGCTCTGGGGGCCCCACTGCCTCCCATGTGTGTTCCATCCACATGTTAGATGTGTAGGTCTTCTTCTCCAGCATGAAACATATGATGTACGGATCTCTGAGAGTGAGGAAGTCTTTAGAAGAAGGAAGGATATATGCCCTGAAGAAACTCAAGTCTTAGAAAGAGGGTGATGGTATAGGAGACCTCTTTGTGTCTGTTGAGTTCTTTTTGAAATTGGATATTCTTGAAATTGCAAAGAAATTATACAGGCTGGAATAATAAATCGAAAATTATGAACGTGATGCATAATATTTTTATGTAACTTTACCCTCTTCAGTCACCATTCCAGGAACTAGTGGGGACATTCTGTTGACCCAGACTCCACTGTCCCTGCCCGTCACACCTGGAGAGCCAGCCTCCATCTCCTGCAGGTCTAGTCAGAGCCTCCTGCATAGTAATAGAAACACCTATTTGGATTGGTACCTGCAGAAGCCAGGCCAGTCTCCACAGCTCTTGATCTATGAGGTTTCCAAGCGGGCCTCTGGAGTCCCAGAGAGGTTCAGTGGCAGTGGGTCAGACACTGATTTCACACTGAAAATCAACCTGGTGGAGGCTGAGGATGTTGGGGTTTATTACTGCATGCAGACTACACAATGACCCCCCCACAGTGCTACATCCTGGAACAGAAACCTCTCTGCTGGGGTTGCCCAGCTGCCCACATGTGCTGCTTGTCTGGGGAGCAGCTGAGCAGGGTCTCTGAGTCTGCAAAAGGGGAAGCTGTTGGAGAACTCAGGTTCGCTGTTGAGGACTCTGGGCCATGAATCCTCAGCTGCACCTCAAGCACTACCTGTTTATTTACTTCTTTATGTTTTCAAGACAGGGTCTCACTCTGTTACCCAGCATGAAGTGCAGCGGTGTGATCATGGCTCACTGCAACCTTGAAATCCCAAGCTCAAGTGATTCTCCCACCTCAGCCTACAGAGTAGCTGGAAACACAGGGTGCATGCCACCAAGCCTGATTAATTTTTGTAAATTTTTTTTTTTTGTAGACATGGGGTTTCACCATGTTGCCCAGGTTGCTCTTGAAATCCTGGGCTCAAGTCATCCACCCAAGTCGGCCTCCCAAAGTGCTGGGATTAGAGGCATGAGCCATCGCACCAGATTCTCGCTCTTGTTGATGTTCCTGTCACCTGACACAGCCTTGACTGTCATAAGTAGCAGGAGTATGAGCAGGTTCTAGGGCCCTGTGAGTTAAAAATCAGGACGAAAAGGAAAGGAGGATGGAAGCTCATCTTCATCCTCCCTCCTTGCTTACAGTTGTTTATTAAATTTATTCAGCAAAACAGCCAGACAATTGATCATTTCTGGCAAAACACATTGAATACATCTTAAAGTTTAACAGTTTGATATAGATAGATATAGACATAGATATAGATATAGATATAGATAGATTTTTTTTGAGACAGAGTCTCTGTTGCCCAGGCTGGAGGGCAGTGGAGCAATGATCGCAGCTCACTGCAACCTCTGCCTCCCAGTTTCAAGCGATTCTCCTGCCTCATCTTTCAAGTAGCTGGGATTACAGGCTCTCACCAACACGCCCAGCTCATTTTTATATTATTAGTAGAGATAGGGTTTCACCATGTTGGCCAGGCTGGTCTCAAACTCCTGACCTCTAGTGATCCACTGGGCTTAGCCTACCAAAGTGCTGGCATTATGGGAATGAGCCAGCACACCTAGCCATATTTTTAAGAAAATATTTGGTTATATTTAAAATTGTCATTTTCCTAATATTTTTTTGTAACTTCCGCTTATTCTGCTTAGCACTCATTGCCCACTCCCTAAGACAGTAGAGACAGCATTCTCCACTAGTTCTCCTCAGAGGGAGTTGACTGCGGACAATCGGTAACATCTTGGTAGTGAGTGTCCAATAGATTTTGTAATTTCATAGCAGATACAAGATACTAATACTGAAACTTTTTCTTTGTATTACAATTGCCTCTCACTGACAGAAAAAGGGAGTTCTTGAAATTCCAAAAGTTGGTTTTAGAAATAAAAAGCAAATCTTGGAAGATGTAGTATACTAAAGATGTAGTATTTTCCATGGATCACTGGGAAAATAAAGGATGTCGTAAACTTTTTTATTCCGCAAAGTTCAGAATTCAAGATTGGACAGACTGCAGGAAGGGGGACATGAGGGGATACAGGAGAGGTCAGCTATTGTTCAGTTAAACTGCTCTTGGTTTATGGTGGGTGGGGATGTGGATGGTGGTGGGCATGGCAGTTGATGTGGACCCACAAAGGGGTCAAATATGTTTCTTGTGAAGAATCACAGTGTTAAAGGCACTGCTGCCTGGCTTCCCGGGTGGAGCCTGTGCCACCAGGAGTCCCAAAGGAAAGTAATGTTGTGAGTAGGGCTTTAGTTCTGTAATCACCAAAGGTTTAGTGAAGTTCCTGTGCAAGGAGACCTGAGGTCATGTCACTCAGTCTGAGTCAAATCACGACAGCCAAGCAGAGCTTCTGAAACTCATTCTGCCCCTAGAGGAGGTTTAGCAGAGACCACTGGTTGGGTCTGGAGATGTCACAAGCACTGACATGCTGAGGCGAAGGCCAAGCACAGTCTACACCAGCAGGGGGCACAGTGGGGATCCAGAACCATGTCCGTGATTCAGACATGTATTCAGAGTGTTCTGTGCAAGTCTGATGATTTGGAAGAACATGCTGAGTCTGTGGGAGTTTCATGTTCTTCTAGCCCATCTCCTCCAGCTGCCTGATGACTCAGAACTCAGCAAATGCCCCATGGAGGATACAGGCCATGTAAAGAGGCTTCCCTGTGCAACCCCTGAGGGTCAACCCAATTCATTTTTCCCAGGAGACCTCCTCTGCCTGTGCCAAGACAGAGCTTGTGTCCACATGCAAACTTGGCAGATTTGGCAGGAGGACAAACTGTCAGGAGAGCATCAGCTCAGCCAGAAGGGGCCCTATTCACTTTGGAATTTCAGGTCACTTCGTTCTCATTTCTTCCACCGTTCTCTGATGTTATTAATACAAAATGTTGTATTGTTTTCTCTCCAGGTTCTTGCAGCGGTTCTCTTAGCCTTTCGACCCCACATTGTTGTCCCAGAATAAGAAGATTCCTTTTGAAACTTACTAGTCATTTAGAAATGGCAATTTGGGTTCTAAATTATCACAAAAAGCAATAAAAGGTTTTAAAACAAGTGAATGTATAATTTTTACACGATGTGGTCATAACCTGAAAATAAACGTGACTCCCATATTCTAATGGTAGTGGGATGGAAAAAGTATGCTTTGCATGGTTTCACTCAAAATAATTCCTCAAAAATATTTGTGAAGATATTTAAACCAAGCTTTCCTCTGGAATCTTACCTAGAATTTCATTTATTTGTATTCTTGGGCAATTAAAAAAGAATTTCTGTCAAATTACCCAAGATTACACAGCACTGCAAGCCAGTATTTCAATTGTTCCTGGTTTTTTTGTTTGTTCATTTGTTTGTTTTGTTTTTGCTTTTGTTTTTTTTCGAAACGTGACTGTCCTTGTGATAGTGTTTGGAGCTGACACCATTATTCAGGAGCTGTTCAATTAAGTATTAAGTACATCACTAACAAATGAAGAAACATGAGATTGTTTCCCTTTGTAATGATCAGTTGTGGGGCAGACTCACATCCCTGAGCTGTGCACATCTTTACATGAAACCATGAGAATGTCAGTTTCAGGTACAGGTTATTCTGAGACATAAAACTGTAGATGCAGTCCTTGCTCTTCTCACGTAGACAATTTCCTTCTCAACTGCAGACTCATGGCAGGTGGATACACCACATCCAGGCTGGAGGAGACTCACGTCTCACTCAGAGTTGGCAAGCACCTGGAAGCCCAGATAGGACCTGATCCCACATGACCAGGGAGACTGTGTGAGAAGTTTTCCTAAGCACCACTCAGAAAAACATCATGCAATGTTATTTCTTATTTGTCTGTATCATTAACCTAGGAAATTCTTCCCTATGAGAGCCTGCTGGTTAATCTTGTACATGTGAGATGATCATGATGGGATACATCCCAGATTGAAAGGTTGGTCACTAGGAATTTTATATTCACTGCCTGAGGCATAACATTCTTGCGCCCTTTCCTCTTACTTACACTGGGCTCTTGGCTCTAAATGTAGAGACCCACATCATTCTCCCTGTGAGGCCTTTGGACAGAGCACTGTCATGGGGCTCACTCACCAGGTGCCAGGGAAGGGGAGATTCTAACCCTTGCATTGAACAATGTTGACCAGTTGTCCTGGAAACAGCAGACACCAGGCAACACTTGAACTCGCTCAGGAGCACTTTTCATTTGCAGGCCCTCTGCCCTTCAGTGCTTGTGGGAATGGGGCTGTTTTCTTCTCTAGATTGACTGGAGGGAGCCATGCAGGATAACATTTACCCCCCCAGAGATGCATCCTAGAAACACATTTCCACATTGTCAGGGTGTTTGTGCTTTCTCAGTGTGGCATGCTCTGCACAATGTGTCCCTGCCTAAGGTCCCAACTTGCACAGTCAGAGCCTTCTTCCCTTGACCACAGGCGAACTTGACTTGAACTATGTTTGTTTTGCTCCAACGAACATTTTATGTCACGTTGTTCACTGAAGAGACATTCCCCCTGCCCCATCAACCTTTTTCACATCACTGCACCCACCAGGGGATTTGCATATTGTCCCCTAAAAAGGTCCCTCCATTGTGAGTGTGAGATAAAAGCTCAGCACTAACCTTGCCTTGACTGATCACGACTCCTCAGGTCACCTTCTCACAATGAGGCTCCCTGCTCAGCTCCTGGGACTGCTAATGCTCTGGCTCCCTGGTAAGGACAGCATTAAAATGAGGTGGGAAAATGGGGTGGGAAGGTGAGTTCTGGGGCTCCACACCTTCATATATTTATTTCAAGAATCTGTTAGAGGCACATGGTCTATGCTCCAGGAAAAAGAATTCATATTTTTGTGTCAGGAATAAGCATGCATCACCTCCCAGGAACAATGACCAGTGCTCTGGTTAAGATCTTGAAAATAAAGAGTTCCCTGCTGGCTAGTAAATAATGGGTTCATTTTAGAAAGTTTACTTTTTATGATATAAATCCAAACTTGAAAATATATGTAACTGTAAATCAATATCTTAAGGGAAATCAGGAACCTTGGTCAAAATGTGTCTATATATCCTTGTGCTTCTCTGTTATTTCAGGATCCAGTGGGGACATTGTGATGACCCAGACTCCACTCTCCCTGCCCGTCACCCTTGGAGAGCCGGCCTCCATCTCCTGCAGGTCTAGTCAGAGCCTCTTGGATAGTGAGGATGGAAACACCTATTTGGAATGGTACCTGCAGAAGCCAGGCCAGTCTCCACAGCTCTTGATTTATGAGGTTTCCAACCGGGCCTCTGGAGTCCCAGACAGGTTCAGTGGCAGTGGGTCAGACACTGATTTCACACTGAAAATCAGCAGAGTGGAGGCTGAGGATGTTGGGGTTTATTACTGCATGCAAGCTCTAGAGTTTCCTCCCACAGTGGTACAGCCCCGAACAGAAACCTCCCTGCTGGGGTGTCCCAGCTGCTCACATGTGCTGCTTGTCTGGGGAACAGTTCAGCAGGGTCTCTGGGACTGCAGAACAAGAGGCTGTTGGAGAATTCAGGGCAGAGTTTGCTGCTGAGAACTCTGCCTGGGACAACAGGTGCATGCCAACAAGCATGGCTAATTTTTCTATTTTTTTTGTAGAGTCGGTGCTTCACCATGTTGCCCAGCCTGTTCCCAGACTCATGGGCTCAAGCCACCCACCTGGCTTGGCCTCCCCACGTGCTGGGAGTCCAGTGTTAGCCATTGTGCCAGGTCAGTGCCCTGTTTATGTTCCTGTCTCCTGCCACAGCCCTGACTCTCATAAGCGACTGGAGAATGAGGAGGTTCTAGGGCCCTGTGAGTAAAAAATTGGGAGGAAAGGGCAAGGAGAATGGAAGTTCATCTGAATCCTCCTTCCTTGCCTGCATTTGTTTAAATTTATTGAGCAAAACAGCCAGACAATTGATCATCTCTGGCAAAACATGTCGAATACATCTTAGGGTTTAACAGTTTGGGGTACATTTTAAAGAAAATATTTGGTTATATGTAACATTGGCATTTCCCACTTTCTAAATTCCTGCTTCTTCTATTGACCATTCTTCTCCACTCCATGAGACAGTAGAGACAGGATTCTCCACGAGTTCTCCTCAGGGGGAATTGGCTGAGGACAATCAGTAACATCAAGGTTGTGAGTGTTAAATATATTTTGTCATTTCATAGCAGACACAAGTTCCCAATACTAAAATCCTTTGATTACAATTACCTCTTGCTGATAGAAAAAGGGATTTAATAACATTTCAAAAGTTGTTTTTAAAAACAAAATGCATATGCTGGAAGACACAGTATACTAAAAATGTCGTATTTTCCATGGATCACTGAGAAAATACAGGATGATGTAAACTGTTTTATTTTCCAAAGTTCAGAATTTGAGATTGGGCAGACTGGAGGAATGGGAACATCAAAAGAACATAGGAGAGGTCAGCTACTGTTCAATTAAACTGCCCTTGATTATGGTGGATGGGATGTGGATGGTGGTGGATATGGTAGTTGATGATGTGGATCCAAAAAGAGGCCAAATATGTTACTTGTGAAGAACCACAGAGTTGAAGGCACTGCTGCCTGGCTTCCTGGGTGAAGCCTGTGCCACTGGGAGTCTCACAGGAAAGTAATGTAGTGAGTAGGGCTTTACTTCTATAATCACCAAAGGTTTAATGAAGTCCTTGTACAAGGAGACCTGAGGTCATGTCACTCAGTCCGAGTCAAATCACAGCAGCCAAGCAGAGCTTCTGAAACTTATTCTATCCTTCGAGGAGGTCTAGCAGAGACCACTGGTTGGGTCTGGGAGATGTCAGAAGCACTGATATGCTAAGCAGAAGGCCAGGCAGGATGTAATCCAGCAGGTTTTGATAAATGACAATTTTTATATTACGTTGCCATAAAAATCAATAAAAGATTTTGAAATAAGTAAATGTATTATTTTTACACAATGTGGTCATTACCTAAAAATAAATCTGATTTCTATATTCTAACAGTAATGGTATAGAAAAATGTATGATTTGCATAGAGTCACTTAAAATAATGCTCCAAAAATATTTATGAATTTTTCATGAGCATGTCAGTTACCTGTCATGAGGTGATATGATTAAAGTAATGTTTGTATCAAAAGGACAAAATATCTTTTTTTCTGGTTAAGAAATGAATCACATCAGAAATTATTGTCTATTCTAAGATGATGGATCCCATTGTGAATGAATTTAAAATTGTATTTCCAAGCAGAAATGTCAAAAAAAAGGAAATCATGGAATACAGCAAGGAATTTGTCACACATACAAAGAATGACAAGTCTTTACTTTTCCATTCATGAGTGAGAACACACATCCAAACCAAAATCTATCGATTTCACTCCCACAATCACCAGTGTGGAGACTAAAGGTAGTGCAATTAAAATTATATTCCTAACCAAAAAAAAGTTCAAAAACAAAGAAAGGATGCTTTATAGAAAATATTTTGCAAAACAAAGAATGACATGTCTGTAGAAGGTATTCACAAGTGGGGACTCACATCTAACCAAAATTCAAGGGATTTCACCATCACAAACACTACTTTGGAACCTGGAGATGTTGCACATCCTCCTGTGAGCAGGACGCTCATTGGGACCCTGCACAGTGTGACGGCCCCAAACACAAAGCTCTCAAGGAAGCTCAGCCTCTCCGTGTGGAAGGAGAGGTTGTGGTGCCAGGGAATGTGTCCACAGAGGGTAGAATCAGGTGGGCTCAGGCAGTTGCCTGGAGAGTCTTTGAGGAAGAGGACATGAGGCCTCAGTCATGGGTGCATGCTCCTCTTCTGTGTGAACAGGGGCCAGGTCTCTCCAAGGCACCTTCCAGAGCCTCTTCCTTCCTAACTCCTTGGGGCGTTCAAGCCCCACAGACCCTCCAGTGTTGGCTGCCATATCCTCCCTGGAGCAGCCACTAAAGTTTCCTGCTGTCCTCATGGCTGCAGGGATGCTCAGTCACGTCACTGGGAGGAGATCCTAGTGTTTCCTGTCCTTACCTGCTACAGGCATACTTGACTTGAACTATGTTTGTTTTACTCCAACGGACATTTTATATCACATTGTTTACAGTAGAGACATACCCCTCCACCATTGACCCTTTCCACACTGCTGCACCCACCAGGTGATTTGCATGTTGTGCCCTAGGGAAGGAGGTAAAAGCTCAGCTGTAACCTTGCCTTGACAGACCAGGACTCCTCAGTTCACCTTCTCACAATGAGGCTCTCTGCTCAGCTCCTGGGGCGGCTAATGCTCTGGCTCCCTGGTAAAGACAGAAAAAATATGACGTGGGAAAATGGGGTCAGAAGGTGAGTTCTGGGTGCTCCACAGCTTCCCATATTTATTTCAACCATGTGTTAGAGGCACATGGTCTATGTTCCAGGAAAGAGAATTCGTATTTTTGTCTTACAAATAATCAGGATTCACCTCCAAGGAACAATGACCTCTGATTAAGATCCTGAAAATAAAGAGTTCCCTGCTGGCTTGTAAATAATGGGCTCATTTTAGAAAGTCTACTTTTCATGATATAAAACTTGAAAATATATGTAACTGTAAAACGGAAATCATGAAAGCTGCTCATAATGTGTCTATATAACCTTGCACTTCTCTGTTATTATTTCAGGGTACAGTGGGGATATTTTGATGGCCCAGACTCCACTCTCCTGGCCTGTCAGCCTGTCACCCCTGGAGAGCCACCCCTATCTCCTGCAGGTCTAGTCAGAGCCTCTTGTCCAGTGATGGATACACCTATTTGTATTGGTCCCTGCAGAAGCCAGACCAGTCTCCACAGCTCCTGATCTATTTTGTTTCAAACCGGGCCTCTGGAGTCCCAGACAGGTTCAATGGCAGTGGGTCAGGCACTGATTTCACACTGAAAATCAGCCGGGTGGGGACTGAGGATGTTGGGGTTTATTACTGCATGCAGGCTCTACAGCTTCTTCCCACAGTGGTACAACCCCATAGAGAAACCTGCCTTCTGGGGTGTCCCAGCTGCTCACATGCACTGCTTGTCTGGGGAGCAGGTCAGCAGGGTCTCTGAGTCTGCCGAAGAAGAGGCTGTTGGAGAATTCAGGGCAAAGTTTTTGGCTGAGGACTCCGGCCCATGAGACCCTCAGCTGCACCTCAGTCCCACATGTTAAGGCCCCATCAGCTGTCACATGTGGCCACGTGCTCTGAGAACAGCCAGCTCTGATGAAGGAAGAGTGAGTGAAAGCTCATCCTCAGCCTCCCTGTCTGGCCCATATTTGTCGAGTCCATTTATTTGCAGAACAATCAGATCATGGATGCAGGTTAGTGCTAACTCAAGTGAAATACATGTTGGAAATGACTGGTTTGGGGATAGTTTTATACATGGTAATACTTGGTCATGTTGGGAAATTACTGTCTTCCCGCTTTCCAAACTTTCTCTCTCCTTTACCACTGGCACAAACCTACCCTTCCTAGTATTATGGTGGAGAAAACATTTTACACCAGCTATTTTCATGGGAATATGGCTAAGAATAATCAGTTATCATGTTTGTTTTTTTTACTACTTATAGATTTTTAAAATCCAGGGGAAATATAAATCCTAATACTGAAATAGTTTGATTTACCTTAATTACCTTTTGCTGACTGAAAATGGGGTTCTTATAATTCCAAAAGTGGGATTTGAAAATAAACAAAATAACTCAGAAGGAAAACATGAAGTTTACATAATGTACCATAAGAACAATGTAGAATTGTATGAGACTTTTATTCTCAAATTCTTAGAATTTTAAAAGTATTTTACTGACATAGTACTTTAGAGAGGAAATATTTAGTACTATGTTGTCATAAGAAAATCATTCAAAGAATGAATAAATGCATTATTTTTATGTGACACTATTTTTTCCTGAAAATAAATCTGAATCCTCTATTTTAGTTGTAAATGCATAGAAAAATTATGCTCTTAATAGATTCTATTGACAATAATGTTCTAAATTTATATGCTTTCTTAATACAAGGGCTATGGTCTGATACATATCTGTATACGTTTTGCCATGCAAATTTTAAACCTAACAGACAAGCTTTCTGTTAAAAAAGCAGTAGTGCTTTCTCTACCATAATGCTAGAGAGGGCAGTTTTGTGTGAGTGGTAAAGGAGAGAGAACGTTTGGAAAGTGGGAAGAGAGCAATTTCCCAATATGACCAAGTGTTACCACGTAAAAAACTATCCCCAAACCAGTCATTTCTAACATATATTTCACTTGTGTTACCACTAATCTGCATCCATGATCTGATTGTCCTGCCAAATAAATTTATATGAACCCGAGTAATGAGTGACGTCTGTTACATGTGATAACACGGTGTAGAGATAGAAGAAGGCAGATTGAATCAATAGAACAAGATCCTGGTGCAGGCTAATGGTTTAAATTATGCTTGAGATGATTTATGTTAAGATAACAGATTCTGTAGTAAGTGCAATTAAAATTCCAATGTGTCATTTCTGTTAGGTTTAAAAGTTGCATGGCAAAATGTATATACATATTTATTAGATCGTAGCCCTCAAATTAAGAAACATAAACACTTAATATGTTATTCAAAAATACTAATTAATGCATCATTGAGCCTAAATGTTGTTACAGAATGCAGTAAAAGAAAATAAAATGTAAATAGCAAGAACAGGAGCTAAGCAATGCCATCGTCACTTTTAGCCCTCCTGTGATTGACAGCACCTAGCCACCTTGAATTTCTGCTTTTCTATGAGACAGGAGATAAAATCAAAACCCATTCAAGGTTGGTTAGATATGTTTTTAGGAAAAGCAAACAAATGTACAACCTACATGATGCTGATATCCCAAAGGTCTATACTCTCAAGTCAAATTGGTGGAAAATACATGATTCCAAATCTGAAAGAGGAGAGATACAAGGAGAATCAGAGCATAATCAAATTTATTACAAAGAAGCCTCAAAATATGGTGGACTAAATGGGACAAGGTTTCTATGTCTGTGCCATGGCAGTGCAGAGGCAGGCAGGTGACCTTGGTGATGTAGGTGGCTCTGCTCCATGAGGTCACTCAGGTGGGCAGGAGGCACGAACACCCTGAGAACACAGCCTTCCTCCTACCTTAGAGTCACTGCTCCCATGGCCATCCTCAGCAGCATGAGGTGGGACAGAGTGGAGAGAAAGTTGTTTATTTCTAAGGACCAAAAATAAAAACAGAAACAAATAAAACCTCAAGCTTTCCATCAGTGACAAATGTACTTTTGACTCAATCACAGATTTGAGAAATTTTCCATTAAGTGGATCTCCTGATAAAGCCACATTCATTGTTTGTTTGTTTGAATCTGAAAATGTGTTTACATGATTCTTGTAGATATATTTTGACAATAAACATACATATGTGGTAGCCTATTTGAAGCTGTCATTTACTATTTCATAATTGCTGCTAAAAAGTCATTTGTTAAAAACTCTGTGACTCTAACTGTTCTTTTTTTTTCTTTTTTATTATTATTATTATTATACTTTGAGTTCTAGGGTACATGTGCATAACGTGCAGGTTTGTTACATATGTATACTTGTGCCATGTTGCTGTGCTGCACCCATCAACTCGTCAGCACCCATCAACTCGTCATTTACATCAGGTATAACTCCCAATGCAATACCTCCCCCCTCCCCCCTCCCCATGATAGGCCCCGGTGTGTGATGTTCCCCTTCCCGAGTCCAAGTGATCTCATTGTTCAATTCCCACCTATGAGTGAGAACATGCGTGTTTGGTTTTCTGTTCTTGTGATAGTTTGCTAAGAATGATGGTTTCCAGCTGCATCCATGTCCCTACAAAGGACACAAACTCATCCTTTTTTATGGCTGCATAGTATTCCATGGTGTATATGTGCCACATTTTCTTAATCCAGTCTGTCACTGATGGACATTTGGGTTGATTCCAAGTCTTTGCTATTGTGAATAGTTCCACAATAAACATACGTGTGCATGTGTCTTTATAACAGCATGATTTATAATCCTTTGGGTATATACCCAGTAATGGGATGGCTGGGTCATATGGTACATCTAGTTCTAGATCCTTGAGGAATCGCCATACTGTTTTCCATAATGGTTGAACTAGTTTACAATCCCACCAACAGTGTAAAAGTGTTCCTATTTCTCCACATCCTCTCCAGCACCTGTTGTTTCCTCACTTTTTAATGATTGCCATTCTAACTGGTGTGAGATGGTATGTGGTTTTGATTTGCATTTCTCTGATGGCGAGTGATGATGAGCATTTTTTCATGTGTCTGTTGGCTGTATGAATGTCTTCTTTTGAGAAATGTCTGTTCATATCCTTTGCCCACTTTTTGATGGGGTTGTTTGTTTTTTTCTTGTAAATTTGTTTTGAGTTCTTTGTAGGTTCTGGATATTAGCCCTTTGTCAGATGAGTAGATTGCAAAAATTTTCTCCCATTCTGTAGGTTGCCTGTTCACTCTGATGGTAGTTTCTTTTGCTGTGCAGAAGCTCTTTAGTTTAATGAGATCCCATTTGTCAATTTTGGCTTTTGCTGCCGTTGCTTTTGGTGTTTTAGACATGAAGTCTTTGCCCATGCCTATGTCCTGAATGGTACTACCTAGGTTTTCCTCTAGGATTTTTATGGTATTAGGTCTAACATTTAAGTCTCTAATCCATCTTGAATTAATTTTAGTATAAGGAGTAAGGAAAGGATCCAGGTTCAGCTTTCTACTTATGGCTAGCCAATTTTCCCAGCACCATTTATTAAATAGGGAATCCTTTCCCCATTTCTTGTTTCTCTCAGGTTTGTCAAAGATCAGATGGCTGTAGATGTGTGGTATTATTTCTGAGGACTCGGTTCTGTTCCATTGGTCTATATCTCTGTTTTGGTACCAGTACCATGCTGTTTTGGTTACTGTAGCCTTGTAGTATAGTTTGAAGTCAGGTAGCGTGATGCCTCCAGCTTTGTTCTTTTGACTTAGGATTGTCTTGGAGATGCGGGGTCTTTTTTGGTTCCAGATGAACTTTAAAGCAGTTTTTTCCAATTCTGTGAAGAAACTCATTGGTAGCTTGATGGGGATGGCATTGAATCTATAAATTACCTTGGGCAGTATGGCCATTTTCACGATATTGATTCTTCCTATCCATGAGCATGGTATGTTCTTCCATTTGTTTGTGTCCTCTTTTATTTCACTGAGCAGTGGTTTGTAGTTCTCCTTGAAGAGGTCCTTTACATCCCTTGTAAGTTGGATTCCTAGGTATTTTATTCTCCTTGAAGCTATTGTGAATGGAAGTTCATTCATGATTTGGCTCTCTGTTTGTCTGTTACTGGTGTATAAGAATGCTTGTGATTTTTGCACATTGATTTTGTATCCTGAGACTTTGCTGAAGTTGCTTATCAGCTTAAGGAGATTTTGGGCTGAGACAATGGGGTTTTCTAAATATACAATCATGTCATCTGCAAACAGGGACAATTTGACTTTTTCTTTTCCTAACTGAATACCCCTGATTTCTTTCTCTTGCCTAATTGCCCTAGCCAGAACTTCCAACACTATGTTGAATAGGAGTGGTGAGAGAGGGCATCCCTGTCTTGTGCCAGTTTTCAAAGGGAATTTTTCCAATTTTTGCCCATTCAGTATGATATTGGCTGTGGGTTTGTCATAAATAGCTGTTATTATTTTGAGGTACGTTCCATCAATACCGAATTTATTGAGCGTTTTTAGCATGAAGGGCTGTTGAATTTTGTCAAAAGCCTTTTCTGCATCTATTGAGATAATCATGTGGTTCTTGTCTTTGGTTCTGTTTATATGCTGGATTATGTTTATTGATTTGCGAATGTTGAACCAGCCTTGCATCCCAGGGATGAAGCCCACTTGATCATGGTGGTTACGCTTTTTGATGTGTTGCTGAATCCAGTTTGCCAGTATTTTATTGAGGATTTTTGCATCGATGTTCATCAGGGATATTGGTCTAAAAGTCTCTTTTTTTGTTGTGTCTCTGCCAGGCTTTGATATTAGGATGATGTTGGCCTCATAAAATGAGTTAGGGAGGATTCCCTCTTTTTCTATTGATTGGAATAGTTTCAGAAGGAATGGTACCAGCTCCTCCTTGTACCTCTGGTAGAATTCAGCTGTGAATCCATCTGGTCCTGGACTTTTTTTGATTGGTAGGCTATTAATTATTGCCTCAATTTCAGAGCCTACTATTGGTCTATTCAGGGATTCAACTTCTTCCTGGTTTAGTCTTGGAAGAGTGTAAGCGTCCAGGAAATTATCCATTTCTTCTAGATTTTCCAGTTTATTTGCATAGAGGTGTTTATAGTATTCTCTGACGGTAGTTTGTATTTCTGTGGGGTCAGTGGTGATATTGCCTTTATCATTTTTTATTGCGCCAATTTGATTCTTCTCTCTTTTCTTCTTTATTAGTCTTGCTAGCGGTCGTCAATTTTGTTGATCTTTTCAAAAAACCAACTCCTGGATTCATTGATTTTTTGGAGGGTTTTTTGTGTCTCTATCTCCTTCAGTTCTGCTGTGATCTTAGTTATTTCTTGCCTTCTGCTAGCTTTCGAATGTGTATGCTCTTGCTTCTCTAGTTCTTTTAATTGCGATGTTAGAGTGTCAATTTTAGATCTTTCCTGCTTTCTCTTGTGGGCATTTAGTGCTATAAATTTCCCTCTACACACTGCTTTAAATGTGTCCCAGAGATTCTGGTATGTTGTATCTTTGTTCTCATTCGTTTCAAAGAACATCTTTATTTCTGCCTTCATTTCGTTATGTACCCAGTAGTCATTCAGGAGCAGGTTGTTCAGTTTCCATGTAGTTGAGCGGTTTTGACTGAGTTTCTTAGTCCTGAGTTCTAGTTTGATTGCACTGTGGTCTGAGAGACAGTTTGTTATAATTTCTGTTCTTGTACATTTGCTGAGGAGTGCTTTACTTCCAATTATGTGGTCAATTTTGGAGTAAGTGCGATGTGGTGGTGAGAAGAATGTATATTCTGTTGATTTGGGGTGGCGAGTTCTATAGATGTCTATTAGGTCTGCTTGCTGCAGAGATGAGTTCAATTCCTGGATATCCTTGTTAACTTTCTGTCTCGTTGATCTGTCTAATGTTGACAGTGGGGTGTTGAAGTCTCCCATTATTATTGTATGGGAGTCTAAGTCTCTTTGTAAGTCTCTAAGGACTTGCTTTATGAATCTGGGTGCTCCTGTATTGGGTGCATATATATTTAGTATAATTAGCTCTTCCTGTTGAATTGATCCTTTTACCATTATGTAATGGCCTTCTTTGTCTCTTTTGATCTTTGATGGTTTAAAGTCTGATTTATCAGAGACTAGTATTGCAACCCCTGCTTCTTTTTGTTCTCCATTTGCTTGGTAAATCTTCCTCCATCCCTTTATTTTGAGCCTATGTATGTCTCTGCTTGTGAGATGGGTCTCCTGAATACAGCAGACTGATGGGTCTTGACTCTTTACCCAGTTTGCCAATCTGTGTCTTTTAATTGGAGCATTTAGTCCATTTACATTTAAGGTTAATATTGTTATGTGTGAACTTGATCCTGCCATTATGATATTAACTGGTTATTTTGCTCGTTAGTTGATGCAGTTTCTTCCTAGCCTAAATGGTCTTTACATTTTGGCATGTTTTTGCAATGGCTGGTACCAGTTGTTCCTTTCCATGTTTAGTGCTTCCTTCAGGGTCTCTTGTAAGGCAGGCCTAGTGGTGACAAAATCTCTAAGCATTTGCTTATCTGTAAAGGATTTGATTTCTCCTTCACTTATGAAACTTAGTTTGGCTGGATATGAAATTCTGGGTTGAAAATTCTTTTCTTTAAGAATGTTGAATATTGGCCCCCACTCTCTTCTGGCTTGTAGAGTTTCTGTGGAGAGATCTGCTGTTAGTCTGATGGGCT